CCAAGTCTCCAAAACGAGCGCTTCGTACGAGACTTCCTCCAAAATTGAAGCACCAAGTCTCCAAAACGAGCGTTTCGTACGAGACTTCCTCCAAAAGTGACGCACCAAGTCTCCAAAACGAGCGCTTCGTACGAGACTTCCTCCAAAAGTGAAGCTCCAAAAGTGAAGCACCAAGTCTCCAAAACGAGCGTTTCGTTCGAGACTTCCTCCAAAAGTGAAGCACCAAGTCTCCAAAACGAGCGTTTCGTACGAGACGTCCTCCAAAAGTGAAGCACCAAGTCTCCAAAACGAGTGTTTCGTACGAGACTTCCTCCAAAAGTCACGCGTCGACCCGCACTATCCCCGCAGAGGGTTGCTCGTCGGGCACAAACGCGATCGACGTTTCACCGCGCTTTTGAGCACTCCACGCGCACGATCCTCGCAGAGGGTCACGTTTCGTGAGCTCCGGCCGGACCTGCCCGCCGCCTTTAGAGTAGAAAGAAGCTTATAAAGAAGTATTATGATGATGACGATGACGATGAGGATGACGATAAGGGCCATGAGTGTTCAGGCCCTGATCATGCCCTTGATCAGGGCTAGTGCGGCACCCCACATGCGCACATGGACCTGGACTTCGTGAGGGCCGGTTCACGGGATCTCGGACAACCGGAACTTCTCTCGACTGCCTCAGGTTCTTCCTGCCGGTTCTCCCTTCTTCGACGAGCCCTGAATTGCCTGATCAGGTTCCATCACATCCCAGAGCTCTTTGCGCTTGCCTTCTGCCTGACGCTCCTCTTGGAGTGCCTGACCTACCTGTTTTCCTCCTCCTGTGGAGGTTTTCGATCCTGGCAACCAAGAAGCACGTCCCAAGGTCTTTGCAGAAGCCTGGACACTCACCGGGGTCCCAAGTCCCCGGCCAGGGCACGAACTTGCTGCTTCGTGCTCTTCCTCACTGGAGTGGTCTTCTACTCTGTCCTCCTTGAGCACGCTCAATCCTCAAGCAAGGCCCTGGAGGCCCGAGGGTTCTGACGCCGCCACGGGTGTCAGTGGAGCCCAAAGCATACATGTTTTGTCCTCTATACAAGGGGCAAAGCTTAGTGGCACTGGACCCTCCCTCAACCGCCATGATGTACAACCAACTTCCAAGAAGAAGGCTTTTCTTCGTGCTCTCAAGAGGGCTCAACTCCATGGCATGACATGGTACAAAGGCAGACTCTACAGCGCATCCATGCTGGGGACACCCAGATTGAGGCTCCTACTACGAGCATCACCGACAAGGTCCCCCCCGGCTCCATCTAAACCTGGCTCAAAGCTCAAGGCCAATCGTTTCAGTGGGTTCACCTGGAATATAGGAGGTCTGAGCAACTACAAACTGGACATTTTGAAGGCTTGGATGGTCCCCCTTCAACTTGAAGTTTTGATGATTCAGGACACTAGATGGGGTTTCAGTGGGGACTGGATGGATGATCATTTCGCCTACATCCACAGTGGCTCGACAGCTTGGTCTGGTGGTGCTCTCACCATCGTGCGTCGGTCCTTCTGCTCCTTGGAAAGGATCAGCTGGAGGGAGCTGAAAGAGGGCCGGGTCCTTCACGTCAGGCTCTACATGTCTTCCTCCTCCATTGACCTTTTGAACATCTACCAATTTGCTTGGAGCACTCAGGACTCTCAATGCCTATCCAACAGAAACGAGATTTGGAACCTTTGTGACTCCTTTCTCAAGGGTTCACCAGGTCGGAATGTGACTGTTTTGGCTGGAGACTGGAACACTGGATTGGACCAAACCCCACATTGCGTGGGCCTTAACGACTTCTACATGAAATCAGGAAGACACAGGGGACCCCGTCATCCTGACTCCTGGAGTTTTTCGGGATCTCCTACAAAGGCACGGTCTCTTGGCCATCAACACATGGGACACGCAGCTTGGTCCCACGTTTTTGGGGAACAGAGGCTCTGCCTCTAGAATTGACTACGTTTTGGTCAAGCACAAAACCAGCGATTCTCTTGCAAAACATCCCATTTATTTGGATAAACTTCCTCGTCGGTTTGGTCACTCCAGGGATCACGTTCCCATTATGTTCAACATCCCCTACAAGTGGCGAGCTCGGAAACAACCCTATTTGGGCCTCACCAAAACGAAGAAGAACCTTTTGCTTCACCACTGGGAACTCGACAGTGAACATTGGGGCTCTTGGATCCTACATTTGGGCTATAAGATTCAACAACTTCACGCCCATCCTCTAAATCTCGAGGTTCTGAACAACACTATCTTGGAGGCCTGCCAGGATTTCCAACCCTCCAACAATACCATGAACATGCCTGCCTTGAACAGGAATCGACCATTCTGGCAATGGGCTTTGGATCTTCCTGCCATCCGAGACCTTCCTGAGACACCATCTGGTGCCTCACGGCTTCACCAAATATTTGCTGCTTGGCTGCGGGGAGCACACATTGGCAGGTGGAGACGTCTCACTAAGCAGAAGGCCAAAGCGGCCAAACTTTCAAAGATGTGCCACCAAGACCTTGGTGTCAAGCAGGTCAAGGGCATGCAGCCATTCCGTGTGCCATGTATCCACCGGTGTGGTGTCTCTCAGCGCATTTTGGATCTGATCCTCCTTGGTCAGCGCTGGAGCCTCATAGGCCGGGAATGAGACAAGTTCTGCGCCTCCATGGGGCGTGCAAGTCAGCCACAGCATGCAAACATTCTCCAGCACAACCTTTGGGAGCTCCCGGAAGGGCTGGGGCTCATCCGAGTCGTTGTAGATCCACCATAGCTCCTTGTCCTTAAGAGCTGCTGCATAGTGACCTGAGGAAGAGTCAGCACCTAAG